ATAATAATGTTAATAAACATTTGGGACACCTTTGAAGGATGGATTTTAGATATCAAAGCGATGAAAAAAGTTCATATGTCCGATAAGTCTTAATTAACGAGTTATAAGCATTTTAAGTTTGTATTAGATTGATCAAGAAGATGAAAGAGCTAGAATGCTTAGCTAGGTGCGCGCCAGTACTGTATTTCTATGTCGTATATTGCGTAGCGGAGTCTCTCAATGAAAATAAGTATACTGATATTTTTTTATATACAATTGATTATTTCAAATAAATTTTAGTGTAATATAATATAATGTAAGTATTATGTAACTTCTTATTTAAAAAAATTTTATTGGAATAAATTTTAGTATGTTCCAGAATATTAACATATACATCACAGAATGTTAACATATAAATCCATAAATAAATTATTTTATGATATAAACATATTATTTAAATTATTTAATTAAATTATTATATTATATAAACATTATTATTATATTATTATATAAACATATTATTTAAATTATTTAATTAAATTATTTAAATAATATGTTTATTAGTTGAATTGTTATATGATACTCAATCTGCCTATTTACCGAAATCCATAAGAGCAAATCAAAACACATTCCCATAAGATTTCAGATTAGGAATGTAATTGCATGTATTTTTTTACATATAAATTTGCTTATTTTCATATGTACAAGAAAATCACAAATGATACTTGAATCAATTTGAAATTCATAAATCAATTGAAGCATCAATTGAAAAACTTTTGTTTCTATTTCACTTGAATTCAATAATTTTTATTTCGACATTCGAGATTATTAAACAAAAAAGTTGAAATTCAATATTTACATTTTAATATAATACTAATGCTATTATTTTATATCCATTAAAAAAATCATATAAGCATTGCATTTTTCTTTTCAACATTACTATTATATTAGATTTTTTTATTCATTATTCACATTAATTTCTTTCAATTTTTTTTTATTCACTATTCACATTAATTTCTTTCAGTAAAATTATTTCGATTATTATTTATTATTATATAATTTAATTTTAATTTATGGAAATTATTTAATTAAAACTTTATTTTAAATAAATATTCAAATATATATTATTTCATCAAATTCTGTACTGATTCCGCGACGCGATGTGTTACTGAAATAGCGTTGCTAACAATTGAATATTAGGCGTTAGAAAAAGAAACTTGAAAAATTTGATAGAAAGAAAAAATAAAAAAATAGTAATATTTGAAATCGAATGTTATGTTTGTGTGTTTTAAATATAAGAATACGAAAACTTAGATCAACAATCTTTCCCCTTACTAAGATAGCATTGCTTTGTTCTGGATTCAGTTCGTTCGTAACGTTCATGTATATTAGAAATAATATATTAGAAATAAATATATTAGAAATAAAAGGAAAATTACTAAATATGTATATGTATAACAAAAGAAAAAATCTATATTCATTTAGAAATATATGGATTAGTAATATAATTATTTAAAATTTGATTTCCTACTTTATTGAGTAAGGATTAAGATTATATAACTAATTTCACGATATTATTTATAGAAAATAAGAAGAAAATAACTAGCAAATAAAGCTATAAAGCTATCGCGACTTTTAACATATATATTTTATTATAACATAAAACATCTCAATTCTTCAACAAATATTGAATTTTTTATGCACAAAAAAGATTTAAAATAGAAAAGAAAATTATTTCTTAAGCTTCAATTATTGAAATTTTATTCTATCGTCATTTTATCACAAATAATTAAATGTAAAAAATATATTTCATTAGAGAAGAATTAAGCTTTCTTCGATATTAACTATTTACAATGAAATTTTAGATCAATCTGCAAGTAAAAATTAAATTACATTGTTGAATGATATATTTGGAATACGAATATTTAATATAGAAAAAAAGAAAATAAAAAATTTAAACTTTGCAATAATTAAATAAAATTATTCGCATTACAATTGAATGAATTTATATATTCAAACAACATTTAACTTACATATTGTATATTAATTATAATGAAAGTAAAATGAAAGAATTCACTTATTTCAAGAATTTATCTCATAATTAATAAGTTAACAAGAAATAACAACAAAAATCTCACTAAGCTAAATAAAATTCAATTATTTAAAAATTCAATAATAATAAAAAAAGCTAAATCTAATTTTTTCAATAATTATTTATATTAAAGTGCTATTTTAAAAAAAATAGAAAAATATTTACAAGTAATTAAAACAAAGCTCATTTTATAAAAAAAAGTTATCAGATTGCAGTTTTATAAAAATTAAGAAATATCTTAAAATATTATAACAAAAAAAATATATTTAAAAAATTTAAAAATCCAATATTTTGCTAAATTATTTTTGAAATTTGTTTTGTTGCCATTTTTGTATGATTGATATTTTTGTTAAAAATTTTTTTGATATATAAATAAATAACTGCATCGCATTAAATGCATAATCTCAAATAATCTACATAAAATATATAAATATTATTATTTATAAAATATTATATATATATATAATATTATTATTACTATTATTATATATTAATAATATTATTACAA